GTCCTTGGGCAAGACACTTCACCTACTGGTGATGGCCAGAGGGGAATTATAAAGTGGAATTGTAAAGCGCTTTGAGGGTCTCATAAAGCGCTATATGAATGCAATCCATTGTTATTTAAACCAACTGTTAACTGTGTATTTTTGTACATTTAAGTATTATTATTCATGGTATTATTTTGGCGCCCCAGCTGCTGGAATATTACTGGTTTTTTAGGATTTTTTTTTTTACAGCATAATTCATTAACAGCGCTGAAACCACCTCACAGGACATTCGATTGCTGTATGAACCGGGCGCCGTGACCGAGGACTCTCAGATTTGAACGATCTGTCAAAAATAGACGGAGCTTTTCTTCCTGTTTCTCCTGCAGTGCTTTAAGTTTGCAGCGTGGTAGCGTCTTGTTAAGGCTTGCTTAAACCAGAGTCTGTCAAAGATCCTCATAAATCCCAGCTGGATCTCCCTGAAGCAGTCATTGAGATGTATTAACACTGCTCAGCAAGCCTCTCTGTTAAAGTCTGCTCAAAGTACAGCCGCCGGGCCTCAAAGACCATTTCAGTCCACTTCATTTCTTTGCAGGGTTCCTGCTCACCTGCTTAGATTCAAAACTGGACACAGCTTCTGTGATTTTAGAGATGATTAAAAGTGCCGGGGAAAAGAAGAGTTCAAACGAAGTTCAGATGACAGCTTTTAAATCTGGGCGTTTTAAAGAACTGCTATATGTATAAGTGCATCTGATTTTCAGCGCTACCCAAAGCCAAAAAGCATGTAATTCATTCACATGTGCAGCGTGCAGCTCGCTAAGAACTTATCATGAGACAGACAGGTTATTCTGACTGGTATCGTCATGTTCATTTTTGGGACTTCTTGCAGAGGTAATGATACCATGTATCATGTCTTTGCAACAAATATGAACTAATGGCACAATGACTGACAAAGTAAAAGCCTTTGGTTCTGTGCAAAGGTGATACATCTCATGCTGACTCTAAAGCTCCCCAGTTAACACTTCTCACTAGGGCTGCCACGATTAGTCGACTAGTCACGATTACGTCTACTATCAAAATCGTCGACGACTGATTTAATAGTCTCGACGCGTCGTTTGAAGCTTTGTAAGATCACAAAAGACGCAGGAATAAGTAGTAGGATTTAAGAGTGTAATAACGGACTGAAACAGAAGATG